CCCAGCACTATAGCACGACCCCGTGTTGCTACATTAGCCACGTGGATGTCATTTCAAAACAAAGCAACATGCCTTTGCACCCAAAACACGCACAAGACATTTACTTTGTGCTGTATCCTGGCTCATATTTCTCACTTCAGGGCACACGGTGAGATGAAACACTCAGATGATTCTCGGTGATGACAGTCTGCAAATGTACAACCTGGCGTCGGTCTGAGGACAAGGTAGGAAATGTGTCTCTTTTGTATCAGTGGGTTGGATGCCGACAAATGTTTTATCCTGACGTGTTTAGATTGTATCATTCAGTACAGTGGTAGAATATAGACAGAAAACCTCATGTCATGTCTCAGCATTGTAGACCAATCACCATAAAGACCAATGACAGAGACCCACTAAAAGAAAACTGATAAAGGAACATAGGCTAGCTAAAAGAAACTCTCTTTTTGCCGTATTTATGATATGCATTTGTTAATATGTAGACTGATAAATGTGATGTTGTGTTTCTTCTTCACAAGAATCTTTATGAAAAGTGAGAAAGAGTTAAACATTTCAAACGTGCCTATCTAAAGATAACTAATCATTCTTGTTTGTCACTTGGATTTTACTCCTTTGTGTTCGGCCATCTTTTCTATGTCCGTTACGACATACTCACCAAGTTAATCGCTGAGCATCACGACGGTATCACATAAAGAAAATGTACCAATCATGGTCAGATTATTGGTTTCGAATAAAGATCCAGGTTGTCCAAACTTAATTGGAGGTGACAGCGAAGATGAGCGGAAACTTTATTACCCAGTGTCTGACTGTTGCCAACGTCTGTTAACGTTTACAGACCGACCTTCTGTTTAAACTCACTCTACCCACCGTACGAACTGGAGTTGCACTTTCTCTTTTTCGTCCAAATAAATTGGTTTCGATGATATGGATAAACTGCTGGCTTGTTAACATCTTGGCTGATCATCTGACTGCGTTTCTCGCCCCATTAGATCTTACTGCAGCATTTACTTTGGTGAATGTACTATTATCTTGACCAATAATAGGAAAAGCAACGCACATTAGACCCAAATGGTTTCATGTTGGATTAATACAAATATCCCCTAAACCCATTTCCCTCCGATACTGAATGTCAATATACGGTATCTCTGTATATATGTAAATAAAATACTATGTCATTTAAATAGTATTAAAGGGATGTTTCTTATCAGATGAAGTCCCAAGCTAGTGATACCAACGTAATGCTACATTCTGCATCTGAGCTGCGTGTACTATTGCGGTATTGGCTTACATAAACACGGTGAATGAAGCCAGTGTAGTGTTACCATTGTGTATTCTTTTCACTGTACCATCTGGTGACTCACACTCCTCCACCCGCCCCGTCCTTTACTCTCTCACTCTCATCCTTTGTTTATCTCTCTCTCTCTCTCTCTCTCTCTCTCTCTCTCTCTTGCTGCCTGTGCATTGAGAAACGAGCTGGTGACAGATGTGCGTGTGACTTGAACGTTGTAGCGGCGAATGCTCGGCCTTCTTGTGTCAGCAAATACAGCCGCTAGTGTTTCTGCTAAACAAGGAGACCAATAAATAAATAAATACAAGTGCTGTTGGTGAATCACATTTTATTAACAATGAGAACAAACAATGTTCAAATCTAGAGGGAAATGGGGAAAAATTCTCAGTGAGTTACTGACATTTGTTATCAAAAGCTGCATCGCAACAGTTTTTGTGTGTATGATAATTAAAGAATGGAACAAGCTGTCTAATCACTGCTCCATTATTTCTGCTTACTATGCCATTTCTGGTGCCACAGAGGAATTAATGGATTCTCAGACCATATATGTGAAGAGGGCTCTGGCACAATAACGTAGATCAATGCCCTCATCTATCTGCCTGCCTGCAGGAATCTTCCACGGTACTCTTCTTCAGATAGCTTTATAGCGCACCAGGGCTTCAGAATTACGACTGCCCTTTCCTGACAATATTGCAAGATGAGGAAGTTCATTCGATAAAATTTTAAGTGACCTGTTTCATTATTGCTCTGCAATAGAATTACTGTACTCTGGAGTGTACCTTAGACTTCCTCTAACTATAACACTTTGTAATTCACCCTTCCCCCGATTCCCTGATATTTCCCTCAGGGGTGAGAATATTGAATCATGCAACTGACCAGCCATCTGCCTTAATGGCCTCAGAATGGATCTACATTTAAACTCGTTCAAAGAAACTACATAAAACCAACATGACCAGCAACATCGCACAGGTACTGTGGCACTTTTTAATCACTCAAAACCGAGAAGCTTCCACCTCTCTCGGCCCGACATTGCTCAGTAAGATTGGTATGTATTCTTAACAGAGCACCAAATGAGCGCAATCAGACAACATCTGCCACGCTTTGACCGAATGCACGGCTTCTTAGATTTTAGGGTCATCAAGTTCAGTTCAGATATGCATAATTGTTGTAGTGGGCAAAGAAAATAAAGTTTCCAGTATATCTGAGGAAGGCATTATTTCTAACAACACTTTCCGAATACAGTAATTGTCGCCACAATCAAGTTTGAAATGAATCGATGGCGGGTTGCAAAGGTTGCAACATGCTCACTGTGATCTCTGCAGTCCGGTTCCAAAATCTTGTGAAAAGCAGAAACCAGAACAGTGAAAACTGCAGCAGCACACCAATACTTCTTGCAATGAAACACTCAACACAAATATATACATAGGTATAATGTTTGGGTGTCCATGTGCTTTTGACTGTATAGTATACGCTGCTTGAAAAATATGTACAATTTCTAAGGCGGTGAGCCACAAAATTCTTGCTGCTGTGTAACATAGAATATTTCCTCTCTGGTTGTTTACAGCTTTTGTACATAAATGGTTTTAACAACTTCCGTGTTTCATCATTCAGTGTTGAAGTGCAGCAAAACAGGAAAAGTGTTGTTTTTACCTCGCTTTGGGGGGTTGGAGTATAGCTGCATGCGTCACATTAAGCTAAGAGAAAGGGCTGATGGCAAGGACTCTCCATGATGACTGAAGTCTGGTGAGGGGGGGGGGGGGGGGGCGGCTACTCATCTTCCCCTGGGGAGACAGAAACACAGAGGGAGTTATTTCAATTAGTCAGATACTGCCACAACCAAAAGCCCAACCTGCTCCCCGCTGCACCTCCACCACCGGCCAGAGACGGCTAATCAAAACAAGACCAGGGAGATGCAGACAAAAGACTGGAAGCACTCTGCGGTATGAGAGGGAGGAAGAGGGGGAGGGTGGGGGGGGTGTAAGCTGTACAACATGTCACATGTGTCATATTTGGAGTGGCATTCGTTACAGTGGTTTGGGGTTGTGTTGGGAAAAGCTTTTTTGTGTATTTTAGCAGACAAAGAGTCTCTATTTGAACAGTCCACAAGGAAGTGGTGGGCAGAGGGAGAGAGAGCAGAGAAAACTGCTCACGTATCCAAAATGATGAATGACACTGTTTTGAATACGATGCTTTACCTTTATGCCACTCCCAATTATCCACTAAGATTTATATTTTGACTCTTTTCTGAGCTTCAAACATGACAGTAACGTGATCAGTTCGGTGTCTGATTCATGGATTGGGGATTTGTGGACTGCAGTTTCTTTTTTTTCCCCCCTTCTTTTTTTGAAGATAATGGTCTCTTGGTAAAGCTTTGTTGTTCACGGGTCCCTTTCTGATGTCACTTCAAAGCCGTGTGCAATGCCGGCCAGAGGGGGTTTATCCTGACTTGTCCAGGCACACTTCCGCGCCCCTTTTCATGTTTGGCACTCCATTTCTCTCTCTGACAAGCAGTTTTGAGCAGAGTCCCGGCCCCCGAGCACTAATTACAGGTCACCATGTCAACTAAGAGGGGCGCTCCCCGCTTTTAAACCAATGGCTGACATCATGAATAGGGAGGACAGGGCTTTAGGGAGAAACATAAAGGTCCACTCTGATTAATCTTAATAAACATGGAGATGAGGCATGGAACAGCGGGTGTCCACTCAGAGCCTTAAGGTTGGCAGCACTTTAATATCATAGCATCCTCTTGGATTCCCACTTTCCTGGTTTAACTACTTGCTGGCTTACTACAGGTTTTGATTGGAAGACACAAAAACACAGTCCGCAATTGCTTGTTTATTCTAGACCATCAATGATTCAGTAGCCTTGATGTTGTAATACGGTACAAAACTGTAAACTTTTACAACTTCTTCATATTTATTACAGTCTTTTTTCTATTTGATAGTCATGATTCCTGACTTTTGTAGTACTTGCTTTTTCTTCTTAATATGTTCATTGTTATGCAGCAAAATACAAAATCCTTGTATCTGAAGCTTACTTGGCAATGAACCTGATTCTGAAATAAGCCAATCAATAATAGCAGATATGATGTGCATATCATTGTGAACTTTCGTCTCTTAATTGATGCTATTTAACAGCATTTAATTAGACTGACATTTGGTTTAAAGTCAATTTGACTTTGACCCAACAAAACTCACGTAACCTGCTACAATATTTAGGCCTTTATAGGCAGTTAAACTTTTACTTCTGCATTATGATAATTTTATGTCTTATAATATCATATGATTGGGTATTTTATAATGGGGACTTGGTATCCTTCCTTTACCCTTGTTAAACGATTTATTACAGAGGTTACTACATTTTTCATAATGGTCCCGGTCAAAAAAGGGCATATTAAAGAAAGCCAGCTGCAGGGTGTGAAAGTAAACTGCCCTACACCTCAAAACTTTTAAAATTGCATACGCATACGTTCGACGCCGTCATTATTTCTCCCCGCCAACTTCCAAAATGAATGCGGCAGAGTTCCAGTCCAGCACAGTCGGGAGGAATGGAATGAGAGGCAGCCGTGGGCGATACCAAGTGTGGATTTCTTTAGGGAGGGTGCAAGGCTATTCTCTAGATTAGAGGGCATAAGCACACACACTAATAGGGTGAAGTATACTAATGAGTACGTTGGGTGTTTATTAAATTATTTTCTTTGCCTTTAACTGTTTTGTATCAGCGTCGTTGATCTAAAATCTTCCTCTTAATCCCGGTTCCCCCTCCTCCGCTTCCAACCCACCGCACATGTATTCCTATCTACTTGTTACGGCTCCAGCGGGGACAGAATGTGGCTCCAGTCGAAAAGGCGACACTCATCCGAAAGTTCTTGAGCTATTTCCAATCTGTGGATTTCCGTTCATCCTGTTTTTCTGAAAGAACGCCAAAGTAACCAGTTCGGATTAACACTTTTAAAAGGAATAGTTTGTTTTCTCATTTAAAAAAAAGGTGGGTTTTGCTTCACTGGTTTGATACTTTTTATCCCGTTTTTTAAAATCCTTCACACTCTTAATGGTTACGACAGGGAATGTTGCCGTGAAATATGATACATTGTTTTATTCTGCTAGTTGAGGCATTGTTCTCTTTGCATGATGTGACCAAACATGTTTAATGGGTAAGCGATTTACAACTTTAAATGTTTGCACACTTCTTTCTTTTTTTATCGTGTTCCCTGCGGACTTCAGCAAATACCTTTTGCCCAAAAACTAACCTGGTACCCTCGTGGAAAAAAAGCGAAGAATGTCGTGTTAGGGTTAGCACCATGGTAAAAAGCTAAAGTAAGGAATTCTTTAAGAAACGTACCATGTTATTGTTGTGTTATTACCATGCCAGCAATGCCCTGCTCATCCACCACGTCAGCTTCATGTCTTGATTGGCACAAAATGATGCGGAACTCATGCAAAGCGATCCTGTCTGCAGCTGCAAATCCCCCCTTTTCGTTTCCTTTGAGCAAAC